TCCTTTATGGGTCTCCTGTAGCCCAATTATTAAAGAGGACAAAGTGTTATATTTGATTAGTGCCCTCTAGATCCATAGTCCAAAATCTGGGGGGTGGGTGGGCAGTGAGACCTATTTATGTTGGCATATGCTACAAACAGAGGGCTATTTGTATTGAAATTATTTCCAAACAATTTTTTTTCTTTAATATATGCTTAAACAAAGACTTTAAATGACCTGTCTGTTTAGCAGTTTTGTGCCTTTTTTATTTTTTAAATTAATAATAATAATAATAATAATATGTTACTAGAACCACAGACGACCACCTTCTATACATAGTTATTACATCAAACCTCCAAGTAAAGTACAAAGCAAGGCTGGGTCTCCCTATTCTAAGCCAGTTAATAGGTTGAATAGCTATTCAGTTGGGACTAGCAACTCGTTTTGTTAACGACTACTAGCAAAATGTAGACTATGACAACATTTCAGTGTGTTTAGTGGCTTTTTGCATTAGTCCCCATCTATCAATATATTACTGACTTTTCACAAGTACTCGGTAAAGCTGTTTTGATCCTGCAACTAATGATCCGTTGACTGTTTGTTTGCTTTCATTCTGATGTGTGGAGGGGGATTCTTCACATAAGTATCACCAAACTGGGATAGACTACTGGGAGGACTATTTTATTTTTAGTGGTTGCAATACTTGGGTGAGAGCTTTCTTTAGATTGTAAAGAGTTTTTTTTTTCTTTCTTTTTTCTTTTTGTAATATGTTCTGAGCTCTCTTTTTCTCAAACAGATGGAATATTAACCTGAGGTGCAGTACTATGGTGTGTTAAGTGATCACATGCTGGAATAATGTTGTGGCCTCAAGGTCTCCGTGATGGTCACGTGACTAAAAACATAAATTGGGATGGACAGTTCAGTGTAAAAGCGTCAATATATTTATGTGGCTATTGAAAACAGGTTTTAGCTTATTGTCAAATAATCCTCCACATGTACTGCTTTGTTTTTTTGAGTACACAGAAATGTAGCACATCAGACTGATTCTCATGTTATTAGGGCAGAGGGTTATTTGTAGTGAATTGCATTAACATTCATGTTGTCACTCTGAGGTCGAGGTCTAAACTATATTTAATTTTGAACTTTTAAAAAGCATGTGCTTTTCAGGTGACCTTTGGTAATCATGGAGAAGCCATTCTAAACTAGGAAACCGCAGCTCTTGTTACAGCGTCACAGATGTTCTTCTTCTGTCTGGTCTATATCTATTGTTAAATTGGAAGTTTTGTAGTTTTAGTTGAAGAGAATGTAAGCCTAACTGCATCAAAGTGGTGTCTGGGTAATGATCACATTTAGAGTCCAGGGACACCCCTTTAGACAAAGCACTTCTTGCAGGTGGTTAAACTCTGCCACTCTTGGCAGTGGACACTTGAAATATACCCGTTTAGAAAAAAAAAATCTGTATTTCATTAATGTACAACGAAAGTTGAACATGTATAAGATCCAGCGGCTATGCAAACCCATGCAGTTAATTAGTACTTCTAATGTTGAGATGAGCAGTTTCATGCAAGTTGGGTGGGCATAAACTGACACATAACTTTAACCAGGGCAATGTATAACCACATTCTGTACAGGCTGGTGGACACTAGCCTGCAAGAACAGCAGGCTCTGAGCACTGTTAACATTAGCCAAACTCGGCAAACTGATTTAACATGTGGTATGTGCAGTGTTATATGAACATTTCTGTGACAAATGTGTTTATGACACCGGCAGGGGTCATGTAGTTGATATTTTCAAATTCCTATGTTGGAGTGCTTTAATGGCACTTGAGTATCAATAGTAACACCACATGTCCACCTGCTTATCAATACTTTGGTACTGACCAGCCTGGCAGAAGCACCCATTTGAACTGTTGTTTGAACTTGTGCAGCAGATGGGTTATATGCCCATAATTTAGTTTTTTCATTCACATAAAAACATTTTCATCTCAACCTCATCTGCTTTTTTTTCATGTTCTTTCATTCATTGTAAATTGTGTTAATTTCATCAAAAGCTTCTGCATGCTTCTTTTGTG